CAGTGAATGATATGAGTGGTGTAGTGTTTCTCCTATTTTCTATATTCCTGCAGCACAGTGGTGCTCAATCTTTTGGCCATGTAGGCCCGATAAGTGGCATGGGGCTGGTCCACAGGCCAGGCTGGGCCCTGTGCACTGGGATCAGACCTGTGCTGCCTCCCTCCCTGTCCTGCATGCCTGGTTTGGGCTTCACACAGCCTCAGCTGGCCCCCACATGCTGAGACCCCACCTGGCCCCACATACTAGGATTGGGTCCCAGGATCCCATGATGCTTTAGCCTGGCCCGGCCCCGTACACTCAATTTAGCATGCAGGGCCATGCTATCCAGCCCAAGGGGTTCCCCACAGGGCTGAACATTTGGCATCAGGGGAGCACAAATTGGTTGAACAACATTTGTTTACATGTGAATTTCTCTCTCTCTCTGATCTTTACTCTCCTGACTCCACCTTCCTGAGCTAGGAATCCATGTAGGCCTTTATGCAAGTTGAGGTGCAACCAAGGACATCAACTTCCATTACAAGGCAGCACAGACAGCTCATTTAAGGAGACTTAAATATTAATCCTCCATGTTACACAGCCTTTCCAAGCATGCAAACACAAGACCAATTGCTTCTTTCTTGTGATTATGGAAGCTGAATAAATAAAACAACTAATTTCTCTCTGAATAATTTAGATCTGAAAACGAAAAATGCATGATAGCCAGTAAGGTTCAATTACAGTGAGAAAATGAATGCTGCTCATTGTGTCACTCATATCCTCTCCTGTTCAAATCTGGTTATTCTTAACTCTAGATGCTTTTTAGAGAAAAAGCTTGTGCCAATACAGGAGGAGCCTTGAAAAAAGAAGATAATTCCAGACCACCCTCTGAAGACTGATCTAGTATCACACTCTGAAGTTTGGATCAAGACTTAATCTACCCCATCCTTTACAGGAAACATATAAAGTATCACCTGAACCACATCCTCTATCTTTTTAAGAATTCCCTTGTTCCAAACAAAATAAATCAAGGCTGCTAGCGATTTATTCTATCATATTTCTCTGCCCAACAGCACTGTAAACAAACCAAAAAGCCAAGCATAGCTTGAAAAAAAAAAAATCAGTCTCAAGGGGCCAGGGTGGCTTACACACTGGTCCGTAGTGGGATCTCTCTCTCTATATCTATATATATCTATTTTTTTTTGGTCATAATAAAACCACTCAGAGCAGACCACAGACACAGCCTAATCCTAAACAGACTAAGCACATGTAAAAAAAAATCAACAAGCTCCCAGTACTTCCTCACCCAACACACCCTCCTGCCCTCTCTCATATTAGTGACATACTGTCACAATAACAATGTTAAACTGGATTTCCGAGGGAAGATTTATTATGTGGCCAGACTGAAAGTTTCCATTTGTATTTAACTCCCCAGCAGATACATATTTCAGGAAGCATTTGGCACTGCACTTTGTTATAGACTGGGGGCAAGAGGAAGGAAAAAAGGCATCTTGTTAAACGTAAACATTCCGAAGATTAATATTTTAGTTTATTCCAATCTCCTCCCCCTTTAAATGTCTTTTAAGAAATGGCTGAAGAGAGAAAACACAAAAGTTTGCCATGCTTTCATATCTGGATATTTTATTTATAAAGCACTATGAACCTGAAGAGGAATTTTTCTCTTTTCTCTCTTCTAAACAAAATGTTCCTATGTTCTTCAATCCAGGAAACAATATGCAGAACATCTGAAATGGACCTGCAACTATTACCAAAGACCCAGGTGTATTAAGTAACCTTTGTGGTGGATCCGTATGAGTCACTTTCCTCCGTAAGCAATATTTATCCTGAATGAGTCACTAGAGAAGACCAGTTGTTCGTTAAACGTGTCTGTAGTTGTACTGAAATACATTGCTGTGATGTTATAACCTGAGCTGGTGAAATAATGGCTTGGGTGGGATTCTTTTTTCTGTCTGTTGTACTGTGTGATTTCATATTACACATGTCTAGTTTTCTAGTTATTTAAGTGACACAAACACTGATTTGTTAATATCACAAAGAAGAAAAATGACATACGTAGAGAACAAATAAATTTCATACACATACGAATATACACACACATTATATATGTAAATACACACTTGATCTGAGCTAAAAGGCCAAGAAGCAGCCACACACACACATACCCCCCCCACACCACTCAATACTACAAAAAGATACAAATTTAACAGATTTGGCATAGCATTTCAGAAGCAGAGTAAGTTATATTAGTAAACAGCAGTATTTGAAGTCTGCAGTTTAAACTATTTTTAACATTGGACAAATTTTGGACCTAAGCATTTCCCATGACAGAGCTGGTTTGGATACTATGTTTTTAATATGTGCCCAGCTTTTTTTTTTTTTTAAATCACACCAAAGTACTATTAATAAACATTCTAATATAATAAGCGCCTTAGCACTTCGGTCTATGTGTCTGTCTGTCTGTAATGCTCCGGGCCAATGGTGCAAGCATCGCCTACAGGGTGGGCGGCAATTGGCACAGAGCATTAGGGACAAACAGACACACAGACAGGAGGAGGGAGAGGTAGCGGAGGAGAGGGCCTCTGTCCCCACTGGCCTGTCATTCTTGATGGGCAATTTGCTAGTCTGAATTATGAAAGGTTAGGTTCAGTGTACCATCCAATGAAGAAGAAATCCACCTCTCATTGACAATAATACTGTTTTAAGGCATTGTATTTGCAGCTCCATGAATGAAATAAAACAACAAAACACTCAAAAGGCAGTATTACTGTAGTGTTTAATAATGTATAATGAAGAGAGACTCAAATGAATAAGATGCTGAGAACAAGATCTTTCTGCAGTATCAAAGAGATGCATCTCCAGTTGGATCATACCAACATACCCTCTGGAGTTTACATATTGGGACATTTTATCCATCTTTTATAACACTTATTTATGGGAATACTCACAGATCTTGTGGCAAATACAAATACTTCAGAAAAGTGTCACCTCTTTCTTGGTTGTGCAAAAGAAAAAAAAAATCCCTACAGGCTTTCTTTAAAGGCAAGCATCTCCAATTTTGATACACTTTACTACCCACCTGGTTGCTTTCTGTGTGACAAACTTTCTAATTTACGTGCAGTGTTTCTATTCTATTCTTTCCTGTAAAGAAAGAGTTTGTACTATTTAACTGATTGAGCATCTCCACTATTTTTGCAGACTGGGAAATGAGATTAGATAGTTCACCAGCTCTCAACATATTGTGACAAGTACTAAAATCATAAAACCTAAATGTAAATATAAATTAACATACCAGTTATTGTTGATTTGTTATCCAGATTGCGTTAGGTAAAACACTAATCCTGACAGGAAGTATCAGGCTTAACTGAGCATAGCACTAAAAAGATTGCCTGGAGAAGAAAAAACAAACACTGTTTAAGTAACCCTATGATCATTGTATTATTTGCAGAGCATGTTTCCTTTTTTAAGGAAGTCACTAGGGTCATTTGTGTATTAAAGTACTTCTCTGTGTGTGTAATGGTATCAGAATTTGGCATTAGTAAATTTCTTTAACGAAGTATGCGGATTAAGGTGTCCATTAGAGAAAATATGAAAGCCACTGCTCTTCTGCTAGAGGGCAGAGTTGCCAAGAGTATTCAATAATGTGCTGTCCAAAAATCAGATAATACTAACCCTGCAATAACCTTTCCACTCTTTAGGAAATGTCGTGTGGCCATATACTCTTAATTCCAGTTATTTCCTGATCATTTCCAGTTAAGTCTAGTTATTTCCTTGACAAACATAGATATTTTTTAATATCACAAACAAGGAAAACGACATATGTAGAGAATAAACAAACTTTATTTTATAACAGTATTACAGAAAGCAAATATCACTTAATACAACTTCAAGCAGCTATAAATCTAATTTGGCATCTTAACTATACAGAGTAATCAGCAAAAAAAACCCCCAGAAACTGAACAGCAGGTATTCCCCAGTGGCAGTATCATCTGGGCTAAGTACAGACAGTCAAAAAGCCCAAGGCTGAATTGATTTAATCTTCACAGGCTAGTCTAAGCTGCACAGATTGAACTGATAAGCAAAGTGAACAGACATTCACTTTTGATTCCAGAAATGCACCCACATCTGCAGTGGTGCAGGCCAGAAGCTGGGAGGCACTAGAGCATGCCTCCTTGCTGAAGCAGACAACTTAGGCCAAGGCTAGCCTGCCCGTCAAGCAAGAGGGGAGTTTGCAAGGGGGTGCAAACCTTCCTAGGATGCTGGGGGACTGTGAGTTAACTTGAATCTGGAGGAGATATGGGACAAAAGTTTAATAAACCGATTTAACCTGAACAATGTAGTCTGGATACTACATCCATCCAGATTTATCTTACACTGGTTTTGGCCATTGTGATTATGTGCGCTGAAATTTTGTTGTGTTACAGATTTGAACACGTTTACGGTCACTTATATTGGATGTATGCATAATTTCTGTCCCTAGCCCAAATGGTGTTACTTTTGAACTACATGAGAACAGGCCCATATCACCCACTCTTTTTCTGCTGTATTCTAAAAGCCTGCATTACTCAGTAGACAAACAGATATACCTGTTCAACAGAAATGTCAGTTCCAACATGTAGACAATGCGATTTAATAGAAAGCAAGCATTCTACACATGTATTCAAATAATGGAAGTGTTGAATGTTGGACACGTTAAGAAAAAAGCACTAAGGTTTTAAGCTGCCTAGATAATCTTTTACTAGAAGGGCAAAAAAACTTTTTTTTGCCCTTTCTTCCTTCCTTATCTGGAATGTTGCAGATGACAAGGTGTTGCCCAAAGTATTGAGCATTGGCACCGAAGTGCAAAAGTTTTTAAACACAGTGCCCAGTCGGTAGAAACATCTTTATAACTCTCTCTCTCCTACAGACTACCACCACTTGCGTCTCATGGAGAGGGGGACAGCTTCAGAAAAGAAAGAGTTATAAGGTATCAGTATAAATCAATCCAGTCAAAAAAAAAAAATCTATTTTTTTCAAATCATAAGAAATGCTTTGTTTTTATAAAAGTCCTTTTTTTGTTATTTGATAAAGTATATTTACCTGAAAAAAAATCTGTAAGTTTCTTCAGTAAGACTTCAGTTGAAATATTTGGAAAAAAACTATATCTAAATTAGTCAAAAATTCTCCATTCTGCACAAGCATATCTGTTCCAGTGAACAGTGTTTACCAGAATACATTTTGTTCACTTTCATATGATCAAGAAACAGCTATAAAAATGGCAAATAGCTGTGCAAAAAACCAAAAAAACAGCCCCTCTAAAACCTCATAAAAAAGCTAAGAATGTTAAGAAGTGGTTATAGAAAGATACAAGTAAGACTGTAGAGAAACAATTTTAGACCTGGGGTGTTAAGAAAGAGTTTGGTGTTGGCATTTCAACCTTGAGTGTCTGGTCGTTGTTGCTTGACCTGAAAATTTCAGTGGTGTAGTGGTAGTGTTACCAACTCGGAATGGTCACAAGGTTCTTCATAGTCACAATGTGAGTGGCTTCTCTTTTTAATTTCTGAAAAAAACAGAAAGGAAGATTATACAACCATTTGAGAGGAACAAGGTGTTAATACCATATTACCTATCAGATTTCAGAGGCCATTTTTCCATACAGATCTTCATTTCAGCAAAAAGTCTTGAGTGATGAAAGATCTTCCTCTTCATGATTTATAACGAAAAAATAAGTTAGGATACTATTTTAAAGACTCAAAATTTTTCCCTACAAAACTTTTAAGGTTTAACATTTTGCCCCTCACAGTTGTATCTAATACTGTTTTTAGCTGTTTGCAAGATTTAATAGCGAGTTTAAATTCACTAAAATATGTAATCTGTGACCTACTGAACAAGGTTGCATTTTAAATGAATGAATCAGGGATGATCTTTCCATCTCAGCACAAAGCAGTACAAAGAATTCTCCCATTTTAACCAGGGCAAAACATTCACTAGTTTAGGTGCAAGGCAGAAAATAGGGCAGGATGGCACCTTAAAGACTAAATGGTTCAGACAGGCATTTTGTAGGCAACAGCTTACTTTGTCAGCATAAGATGCTAGCATCTGCTAAAATAGTCTATTGCTTACAAAAGCTCATGCCCCTCTAACCCAGTTAGTCTGTAAGGTGTTACCCTGTCCTATCTTCCACTTAACTTCAGAATAAGGGCTTACTGACTCTCTGCTCATAGTTTAAGTGCAGGTAATCAACACTGGATGACTTAGCTAACAAAGAGATTTGTTAAAAGCAAGTTACTGGACTCCATACAGGAAATTTAAATAAAATTCTTCATATCAGTTCCTATTTCACTCCCATATAAGTTGAGCAAGAGCTATGATGTTGTTGTTGATCTCACTTTTTAACAACATTTCAAAGAACAGTTGCTTTCTCTGTTAACACTGACTTCTAACTAGCTGTGACAACTCTACACATAGACAACGTATATCAGACCTTCCCAAAGCTACCGGAATCTTAATGGATGCAACGAGTCGGATTGTGTGCTTTCAGGATTTTCTTTTCCTCTGTGCTGCCCTTCAACAAAAGCTTTTACTACTTTCTCTATTTAAGCAGCATTGTCTAGCTCTGCCAAGAGTCACCTGCATTCCTATAGTTCAGCACATCCACTCATTAAAAAGTTCTGGGCACCATCAAGGAGTCTTGACTAAGACTTATGAGTCTGATGAATGCCCTTCCTAGTCTGAGAAAGAGTAATGAACAATTGGTGCCTCTCCTGACTGAAACAGCCACCCATCATTCAAACAGGAAATCTTCCCTTCCTCCTTCAAACATGAAATAGTTCAATTAACATCAGTTCTAGCCTCTTCCCACATGCTTTCAAACCTCCCAGTCCTATTGTAAGCTCACTTAATTGAAGCTAAATTGGATTTGGGCCCAAACAGATCAATGCAACTACTTTAATAGAAATGACTGATAATCTTTTCCTGTTAATGGATAGATGGCAGACATCAATTTGCATTCTCCTGGACTTATCTGTAGTAGTTAGAACTGCTGACTAAGGTAACCTTTGTCTCACCAAAGGCTGCAGAGTTTCAGTGTCCAGTTCAAAAATGGTTGGAGGCACCCAAAAAAAGCACTTATGAAAAAATGCATTTCTGCCATTAGCCTTATCATCAGGGAAGTTCCAAAGTGATGGGTTGTCACCCTAGCCCTTTTCAACAAACAAGCACATGGCAGAAAAACAATTCAAATGCTAAAAGTAGGAAGATGACACACCATTCTCCCTATCCTTTACCACAAAACAAATAAGATTCATCAACATCATCAAGATGACAAACTGTCAGATGTGATGAGAGCAGCTCATGGTTAAAGAAAGAGCTGGGTAATGTTGTGCTAAAAATGTAGTGAGCAGATGTCATTTAGTACCCTTTAATTTCTTTCTGATGCTAAGCTCACATGGAGCAACCTCTATGGGTAATGGTTTCTATTATTCCAGGCTGAGATAATGACCTGGCCACCATTATTCACATTATCATCATTTCTCAGCTGAACCACAGTAATGCAATGTATAGGCACTAAATCTTCAACTCTTAGGAAGTTTCAGCTAATACAGAGGAAATCAGCTCATCTCAACAACCCAGGCTACCATGAGTAAATCAAATTCATCCTCTTTTTATGCTGGTTTTCCATACCATTTTAAATCAAGCTCAAAGGTTTAAGTCTTTCTTCAAGACATTTCAGAATCATGGCTCACTATAACTAAAAGGCTACTTCAGGCTCGCAGGTGGAGGCTCTATTTGACACCTATGTTCCCCTGGCCCTACAATAATGGTAACGTTTTCTCCTGCACTGAAAACATCTCTTAGCAGCCACTCTCACTGGGGCATGAACTAACCCAGGAATTAAGGACCATGACAAAACTTCACCACCTTCTGCAAAAAAAGTGCCAGGTGCACTTCTTTGAAAATGCCATCTATTAGGCAAACACAAAACAACTTTTTCATTAAAAACTCTAAACCACCCTAAAGCAACATAATCCTCTTCAGGCATTTTTTCCCTCAGGACAAGATAAAACTCAACTTGCAGTCATGCTATGCGATGCAGTGCTGAAAGGTGCTAAGGTGCAGCAGTGATGAGCACTGCTTAAAAACCTACACAGAAGATAATTTTGGTTGCATAACACAAGAAATCCAGCATCAGAGACCTTTTGAAACACTAAGCATTTTGTGGAATTGCTGGTTACTATTGCAATGAAAACTATTTTCCATTAAAAAAAAAAAAAGATCATAAAATGGTAGTTCCTTTCTAGAGAGTAACCATACACACAAGTGAGAGAAGGTGTTGTGTTTCCCATTGTTTTTATATTTTCATAGCTAATTAGAGGGATTGAGAATTAAGCCTTAATTTTGTATCTGTGAAGCCTGTAATACAGATGGTGGTGTGCACTGGTTATGTGGAGAATGTTATGGCTGTTTGTAGAAGTGCTCACTGTTTTCTAAACCATGCTAACCAATTTGCATCACATGGAATCAAATTTCAATTCCCATGAAGGGTTTATAGATGATCACTGACCATCAAGGCAGGGGGCATTGGCTATACACAGTCTATACACTTGAAAGCCCCTTAACAGACTCAATTCACAGCCTGTGTGTGTAGGCTTATGCTTGGAAGTAATTAGGAGGCAATAATAAGCCAGTTTAACCACTGCTACATCGTTCAATCCTACTGACAGCTATCTAAAGAGCTGTTCCAGAAGCTGTAATGGGTGTAATTGACCTGCAACTGAGATTTAGTCAGGGTGAGGTTCTGTTGGCACATTTGACTTTGTAAAGATGTTACTTTGTGCCTGATAGCCTCTGTTGTGGTGCAAAAAACTCAACTTAGTTTCCCTTCCTGAGACTGATATTTGCAATGCTTATCTGCCAAGTTCCTGAGGACACACATATACCTGTTAATTAACCTCCAACATACCTACAGGCTTGGCAGCACGAAACTGACTAGCACCACGAATGAAAGGGACCTGGGCATAATAATAGAGCACAGTATGAATATGAGCTGGCAGTGAAGCCAGAAGGGCAACTAATACTTTGGCATGCATCAATCGATGCATCTCCAGCAAAACCAAGAAAGTGATTCTTCTGCTCTACTCAGCACTGGTGATACCGCAGCTGGAGTACTGCGTCCAGTTCTGGGCACCACAAAGACACGGACAAGCTTGAGAGTCCAGAGAAGAGCCACC